CAATGGCCCATACTATGCTCAAAGCTTCCTTTTCCGTCTGGGAATAACGACTTTCCACATCTGTTAAGGACCTACTAGCATATGCAATTACTTGATGGTCCTTTTTTTCTTTGAGCTTTGCGATAAGATGGCTGAAATGCTACAAGACTGGCATCAACTGTCAGACTAGTAGATTTTTATATCAAAGTATCCCATAACTGGTGAGAGGTAAGCGCTCGTTTTACCTGTTCAAACGCATTGTGAGTTCCTTTTCCACGAAAGATCGAGTTCTTCTTGATAAGATCTTCTCAATGGAGCTGTAATTGTGAATAATTTGGGATGTATTTGGAGCTATAATTAGCCATTCCCAACCAACTTCTCCATTCACTTGCATTTTTGGGAATTGAAGCGTTTTGCAAATCCTGAATTCTTTTTGGATCTGGGCGAGTCCCTTTTTCGGAGAATATCTGTCCAAAGAAGTCTAATGTGGGTTGCAAGAATTTGCATTTGTTCGCATTTAACGTGAATCCCTTTTCTTGTAGACGTCGCAAACATTTCTCAAGGGCGATGTCATGCTCTTCCTTGTTGACACCGAAAATAATTATGTCATCTGCTATGTTCTGCACACCCTTGATGCCCTGAAGATTTTGCTGAAGCGAGTGTTGGAAGATTTCAGCGCTAGCATTTATTCCATATGCTAATCTTTTGTAACGATATAAACCGCAATGTGTGGAAAATGTTGTGATATACCTCGATTCCTCTGCAAGAGGTAGTTGGTGATACGCTTGTGAAAGGTCCAGCTTTGTGAAGTACTTCGAACCATTAAGCTCTAGGCTTATATCATTCACTGTGGGTATAGGATATCTAACCCTGTCTATGGCTTGGTTAGCCATCCTCATGTCCACACAAATTCGCACTGAACCATCTTTCTTCGGAACAGCAACGATGGGTGAGACCCATGGTGTTGGCTGATTTTCAGGTACTGGCTCTATGATATCCTGTCTTTGAAGCTCCTTCACAGCGTCCTGTACTTTCTGACGAATGTGAAATGGGATTCTCCTTGGGGGTTGAGCCTTTGGTATAACCTCTTGATTAATGTTGAGCTGCACTTCAGTGTCTCTGAGTTTTCCTAAACCTTTGAATACATCACGATATTTATCCAGCAAAGTTGAAAGTTTCTCATCTGTTACATCAACGGGCTTAATTGCACTTAGATTCAAGCTGATAAGTCCTAACTCCTGTGCGGTAGCCATGGATAGCAGACATCCTGAATCTTTGCTGCTCACAACGTAGAATGTTGAGACACAATATTTTTGCTTTGTTTCGACAAGAGCTTCAAATTTTCCTTTGAAACAGACGGGCTGTTTTGAACTGAAGGCAAATGCCTTGACCTTGGTTGGACGTAATTCAATTCCCTCTAATTGTTGAAAGGCTGTGTTGTCCAACACGTTGATGGAGGCGCCGGTATCAATCATTATTGATATTGGCTTTCCCGCAATAGAAATTGTTGTTGTAGGACACCCTGTGGATTTCTGTTGTATTGTGTAAACGTATTCATCGTCGCTAGACTGTGTCGAATAATTCAATGGCTTGACTGAGAAACGTTGGGGTTTGTTTGGCCTACCGGATTTCGGTCTCTTGTCCTGAGCTGCACTCCGACATACAGCTGCAAAATGATTCGATTT